GAGAAGCAGGGGTGAGAGAGCCTAGAAGCTCTCCCGCACACTCACCAGTGTTGTGTTTTGGTGGGTCTGCAGGACTCCCAAGAGCGCAGCAGCAGTTCTTACTCAGATGGCAGGCTGCGCATGGTCTGGTCAGGTGGGGGTGGTCTGGAATAGTCTGGAGAATGCAGGGAAGTGACTCTCTCACGCAGTGGGTCTGGGCCTGGAGTGGCGGGCTGGCGCAGGACAGAGCAGAAGCTCTCCCCCACACTCGCAGGGCCTGGGGTCGGTTGGATATGGAGGGCCCAAGGCACAGCGGAAGTTCTCACTCAGAGGGCGGGCTGCACTCTGGTTTTGTTTTTATAAGAAAGGGGTTTTACTGTGTTTCCTAGGCTGACCTCAAACTCATGATATTCCTGTCTCTGTCTCCTAGTAGCTGGCACTGAGCTCCATGCCACCACAGCCAGCTTTAGGCTTAGCCTCGCCCTCCATCCTCCCCTCCTCTCCCAGCCAGTGCTTACCAGCTTACCATAGGTAGTTGTCATTCATGTGCACATACTTGCTTTGTGCTCGGTGATCTCCTTGATGACAGGGCTCATGTCTCACATGTCTGTGCCCTGCAGTTCATTGCCTTTGTGCCTGTGGTAATTCTGATATACTTAATAATTTAACATGTTTCTTGTCATCTTTGTCATTTGGAATGTCCACATAGCTTGAATGCAGTACGTGCCATAGAAAATCTCTATGGAGTACAGATGACAGTGCAGTCTGCTTTCCTGGTATTCCAAGAAGAGTGTAAACCGCATCCCCCTTTTCCTTATGCAGAGTCGCAGAGGTGCCGTGAGCGAGCTGGAACACATTCCCGAGGCAGTGTTGTGTGACGTGCATTCTCACGATGGCGTGGTCATTGCTGGGTAAGTAGAACCATTTCGCCTAATGCTCTTTGTCCCAGGTCTTTCATTTTTCATGGCCTGCCCTCTGAGCACCAGTTACTCTCCTTTCCTTGACAGGGGGAGTCTTCCTCTGGGAAAGTGTGTGTAGGGATAGACAACCTCCGTGACTCCCTTCTCTTGGATTAGAGAGCTCGGCAGGGCAGTGAGTGGTGAACAGCACGTTCTTGTGGAGCAGATCTGCAATCCATTTGTCTCGATATGTCTTCCTGGCTTTTAAATCACTCTTGTGGCATGTTATGTTAGATTTTCATTAAGGCAAACAGTTTGTATTTTATGAAGACTTAAAAAAGTCAAGCAAGAATAGTAAGTGTTGGCACAAACAGGTCCTGTTCTTACACACCTCTTTTCCAAAGGCTTTATTATGGTTGAGGGCTGTGGCCACACAAGACCTTCCTTCACTACCACATAGTACTTATTTGCTACTTAACTTGTCTGGAACTAGGCTTTTTATATGTCTCCATGGCCAAGAAATTTAATTTTAGCTTCTGTAAATTCCTTTGGCTTCTGTTCCAAAAGCCACTTTCATGAATTCTTCATGTTTTGCTATTTAGAGGTGCATTTATGTGTTTCTTTTATGTACAATAAGATTAGTTTTCTTTATCAATTAGGAAGTGTCTTGAGCTACAGTTTAAAATGGTAAACCTCAAACTTCAAACTTCTGCAGTCTCAAATTATTTGCCAAAACTTCTTTTATTTTTAATGTATTTGGTACAGGGTCTCACTACGCAGCCCAGACTACAGTTATCCACCTGTTTTTCTCTCCCCAGTGCTGGGATTGCAGGCATGTGCCACCATGCTCAGACTATGGGCTGCTCAGTGGGGGCAGGACCAACACAGCATGTGGTGCTGGGGATCGAAGCCCAGTTCCTGTGCTTGCCTAAGCAGGCACTTAGTTCACTGAGTTATCTCGCCAGCCCTAAAACCCTTAAACTTCTAAGTCTGGGTCAGCCTTTGAATGAGCCCTTGTCTACAAGAGAACAAAACCAAAAAACAACTTTGGACTTGAACAGTTAGTAGTTAGTACCGGGGATATAGCTCAGTGGCATAAATTCCTGCTTGGCAAGTGCAAGGACCCAAGTTTGATCCCCTGGGATTGAAGAAGAAAAAAAAAAAAAAAACCAGCCACTTAGTGGTCACTGAGTCATTTTCTTAGGGGGAAAAATACTCCTTCAAGAGCATTATTTGAAGTGAAATTACAGCTTGTTTAAATATTTTAGTTTCCTGTGCTCATGAAAAATTATTTCTGTTTAAACAAAATATGCCCAGGAGGAGCACTTATTTAGCTTCAGCTTTGCTGGCTATAATTTAGAGGTTAATGTCCTTCTCGAGAACGCTATAGAGCTGTTGCTTTTAGGAAAACTAATGGACCAGAAATCTGGAATTCTGTTCCTCATGTTATCGGTACATTAGGCTTCTGCCCGCATTGCTAATACGTAGACCTCAGAGCTGACCTGGTGCAAGGTATGTCCACTCACTGCATGTGAGAGCCAGGTAACTGCAGAAAGGCCTTAGATCACTTAGACTTAAAGGGTCTCTGCTTCAGGTGTAGGAAGGTGCTTGAGGTCAGACTCCTGAGAATGACTGGAAGAGCCTGAAAGAGCTTAGAAATAAAAGAGACTTTCTTCCTGAATGCCAGTTATGAGTCTTATCTGGATGGAGAGCTCCTGAACAGAAAGGCAGGCCAGGCCTACTCTGCAGCCAGGTGCCAGTCCTCGCTCCCTCCTCCCTGCTCCCTGGGGCTCTGTTCAGCATTAAAGATTCGGCAGCACAAAGCCCAGCTATGGCAGAGTTTGTGGATCGATTAGATGAAACTTGAGCCATGGGTCAGAGAGGCTCCTCTTTCTAAGAGAACCTCATGTTTATGGCATAGAATGAGATCCTTCAATCTTCCTTGTATGTAGAGCATCTTGTGTTTATCATTAAATTTTTATCTGGTGGTTACGATGCTTGTTTTCTGGATCAGATCTTGAATCCCTTTTCATTTGAGACAGCGGTGTTTGTGGTTACCTCATTCCCAATCAATGCTGTATTCACCAGGCTTTCTACAGTTACGCATCTCCAAGGAGCTTCTTAAAGAGACAGTGCTACCTCACCTGACTTTCTTGTACTTACTTTCCTTTTTCCGTCAGTTTTCTCTTTTATATAAGTGGAATCTGTTCAGAGGCTGTTTTATGTAACTACAAGCTATTTTTTATTTAAACCTATTATGTATAGTTCATGTAACTAGTAGAAAACAGGCTTGCAAAATCTCATTTCTTACTACTTTCTTATTCTTTTTTATTTTTGGAGAAACCGGGGATTGAACTCAGGCCCATGCACTTGCCAGGCAAGCACTTATTCTACTGAGCCATCTCCCCGGCCCCTCTTATTACTTTTTTAGATCTCTATAAATACTCGTGATTTGGGGAAGGGCTAGACTCACTTTTCTTGTACTTAGATTCTCTATCAGCCCTGTCTTCTTTTTTTTTTTTTTTTTAGAAAACTGCCTTTATTCTATTAGTTGGAAAAATTAACTGGTACAGAAAAAAAGTTTATTCAGCTGGAGAGAAGAGAAAAACTGAGTACCATCCCTGAGAACTGATGGCTTCTCAGGGAGGGCACCTCAGTAGGTGAGGAGAAAAGAGCGCTGTGAATTAGAGCCAGGCCCTGCAGCCCAGGTGACAAAGGCTATGCCATCTTCAAACAAAATTCCTAGTTACTAACCCAGTTCTGGAGAAGGGAACTAGGATATGTGGGGCCAAAAAGGGGCAATAGCCTTCTTGTATCAGACAAAGTGAAAAAATGGGGATTTTAAAAAATGAATTTTCCATCTGACTTTATTTCCAAATACACTTTCTTGTTAAAAAACAAAACAAAACAAAACAAAACAAAACAAAACAAACCAATACATTCTTTGTGGTAATGACAAGTATCAGTATTAGGAAATCCAATTATACAAAAAATACTATATCTAGTCTGGGTAGATATATTTATTTTTGGTAGCATACATTAAGTGGCACTAATTACATGGTTAACTATAAGGTAACTAACATGAAACCACAGAATTGTAACTCTGCCACAGCTGCATGGACTTGGGGCTTCTGGCTGAGCATGTTTTCAAAAAAACTGTCTGCCCACCCCAGAGCTATGCCAATAACTCCATGAAGAGTAAGACTCTGAAGTGGGGACTCATCAGAATTCCCTGCAACTGACAGATTAGAGGCAG